AAAAAAAAAAAAAAAAAAAAAATATTCCGACGAACTGATAACCCCCTCCTTTTTTGGAAGTCGGTTAAAAAAATATGCTCCTCCCTCCATTTTTCTTACATACAATACATTAGCACATTAATTTCTTATTTTTTCAGTTTGTATATTTATGCAAATAATCTAGTGGTGTGTTTGTGTGCGTGTGCGTGTGTGTAACTGGCTCAGTGTTTGTTTTAAAAACCAATCATTTTCACTACATTACTAAATACTACAACATATGTATTCTACGAATTATTTATTGTCCTCAGTACATTGTCTTTATTTATTTCATCAGCATGCTTTTGAACTGCATTTTATTGTCTTAGTATTTCTTGTTCTTATGCAAATATTGCAACATGCATAGTTAACATGCATACATACATATGTAATGTATGTGTGTAGTATATGTATGTTTAGTCTAATATTTAGCATATTCATACATACATACATATATTGTATATATGTATACATGTATGCATTAAGGTGCGACAGTATGTCTTTTATATGTATAATTACATACACAACGCATGCTTGTATTTATGTATGTATGTTTACAGGTAAGTAGTTACTTAATGCATATGTATACAACACGTTAATTTACTACTTTAATAATTTTTTTCTTTGAACATCTGCGCACACAACAGTTTTACACTCATTAACTACAATACTTTTCTACTACGAATACTTCATTTGGCTTATAAATATATAGCTAATTGAACGTTTTGCTAGGTTTGTTTGTGTATTCTGCATTTTGCTTCTTTTGTTTTATATTTTAAGCAGGGATTATATATGTATGTATTTTTGTCTGTATATAGCTCTAGATTTTGCACAGCATTTATGCGTACACACATACAAAATTAACTAATACTTAATTTTTGTTTTTATAAAAATATTTTCTTATACTATTTAGATGTACATATGCATATGTGTAAGTATTTATGCAAGTAAGTGTACGCCTTTTGTAGTAGTATTTACCTTTAGTTTAGAGACTTGCAAGAGTTTTTATATATACTTGCATTTATAAATATGTATGTATACACATATTTTTTGTTGTACATAGTACCTATGTATGCATTTATTTTTATATGCTCGTATTATTGTGTGGGTATGTATTTAATTTATTGTCGTTTTTCGTTTAGGCACATACACAAACACAAACGTACATGTAAACTCTAGTAATCTCATCTCAAATGGAAATCCATGGTAAGTATATGTATGTGTGTATATATATGCAATCACAAAAACTAAGGTACCTATTAAAATAATTAATTATTTGTTTTTTTTACTGCATTCATCTAAGTCAGAGGTTCCCAAACTTGTTGATCTCTTAGGCCGCTTTCAACATTTTACTAGTTTCCCTGGACCTCCTTGAACTTTACACCCAACTATGGACATCTGTGTCGCNTCCTTGAACTTTACACCCAACTATGGACATCTGTGTCGCGTAACGTAACGTAACTTTAGCAATTCAAATCAACATTTTAAAAAAAAAATTATCACAATTTTAATGGGAAGGATGTACTTGTTGGATTTATGTACAGTAAATTACCAATATTTGGCTTCAGTTTTAATTCATTCATTTTTATAAGCCTGGGATATAATTTGAAATTATTTAGGGGTTTTCCTTAAACTTAAAAAAGAAAGATTTGTGCGAAATGAAAAAACCGGATTGTTCGATAAAAAAATACTGTTTATTCGACATTCGACAAGTCAAGATTAAAAAAAAAAACCGCACCCGTTCAGAACCAGAGATTTCTCCCACATAATCTACATAAGCATGCATAAATACTTACATATGTATATCATTTTTTTTTTTCAAATATACGTATGCCCTTGGAACTACTAATTCGGATGTATGTATGTAAACATGTACGTATGTGTTTCTGTATGTAGCTACACCGTATTAAGGTTGGTTTTACATTTACATTTCTATTCGATTTTATTCATTGCACTCAAAACACATCTGTCTTTGGGTCAAATTGACATTTAAATTCGGAAATTGACTTGATTGGCTAATACTATTTATGTACTCTTTGTGTGTGTATTTAATTGTAATACTTCCACTCATAACTTTTGCGCTTGACTGAAAGCAAAAAAAAAATAATCGTAACACAAGCAAAGTGCTAGGCATCCCTTGACTAATTAAGTTAATATTTCTCAATTACACTGTGTAAACATATACATATGTACCACTTTTTAAATGGCAATATGCCACAAGGATATGATTCATTTTATTTCTTGTTTGCCAAATACAAACAAATCGCAGTTAATTTTATATGTATACATATATGTGTGTGTATATGTAATTTGTTGTAGGAATTTCACTTTTAGCAATACCTTTCTTATAATAAATGTATGTATGTATGTATGTATGTATGTATGTTTGTATATTATTATCTATAAAATTTCACACTCAATGCAGTATTATTGTCTTTTTTCACTGTCTTTGAACTTTTGACTTCAATTCAATACCTTTGCTATTTTTCATGCACATTTATCTGTAAATACATAAACTTTCAAGTTAAACTTAAGTTTTCTTATAATTTTCATAATAATCTATGTCCATTGGACTGCGATTTTGGTTGTGATGTGGTTTTTTGTTACGCACTGGTCCAGTCGCTATATTCGACAGTATATCTGGTCCACCAGGATGTGCATCATATTTCGAAAACTTTTCCTCGCCCACCGGTTTCGAATACTTAGCCATTTGTTCCTGAATCCATGGCACATACTTGATCACGTTTGCGTATACACCGGGTAGTTTTGGATGTGCACACATAATGCCCCAAGATACGATTCCACCAACAAACCAACGATCCTTTTCACCCGGATAGGGGCAGAGTAAAGGTCCACCGGAATCACCCTAAAAAGTGAGTACGTATCATAAAACCTTGTAAGAGTATGTAACAAATTCTTCCTCGCAAGAATGTTTTAATGATTTTGCTTTGGAGAATATATTTATGTCTGTATGTATTTTCTTGTTTTTATATTCGTACCTGACATGCATCTTTGCCTCCTTCTTCATAGCCAGCGCAAATCATGCCATCAGATACTGTCAGATTATCCAGCCACTGATCGCACTGTTGTCGCCCAATAATGGGTACTTGCACTTCATTGACAATGGGCTCGTAAGTAGATTTGGCTGTCAAAATAAACCCAATTATAATATACATGTGGAATTTTTTTTCGGCACTTAAATATAGCTATGTACATAGAGTAGGGTGGTCCAAAGTTTTTTTCCAGCCAACCGCCAGAGTTTAGTTTGAAATCCTTTAACATTTTAACATGCCGCAGGGCCTTTGCAATTTTCCATATATTTCGAACGGGGAAAATACTTTTTTTGCATAGAATCGCTATAAAATCGTTAAAAATATATAGCTTTTGATCGAATAAAAATGATTCCCTTCATTTGTTATGTTATGTGTTTGTAAGCACACCACTCACGTTTTGAAAAAAAAAAGAAAATAGTTAATAAAGTTTTAAAGTTAAATTTGCGTCATAATTTTTTTGTTGAACGATATTTGAAAGGAAATATATTTTCGATAAAAAATTTTTTTTTTTATTCGGCCAAAAAAAATTAAATGTTTAATTCTTCCAATGAATGAATTTTCGAAATAGAAATTTTATATAAAACTTTCAAGCCCCAGTTGCACGGTTAAATATTAATTGATATCAAAATATAAAAACACGGGTCTCCTTACTTACCATTTACTATTATGAGTGGGAGCAAGAAATTTTCCTCTGTATTTATGGACCACCCTAATGTGCATATTTGTGTATGTAGTAATAGATACCGAACGCGTGATTGCGATTCTCATATTATTCTCGATACCAAAAGGAACCAATGAGCTCTTTATTCTTTTACATCCCCCTAATCTAATTAAACATAAATAAATGTCCACGAACAGACATAGAATTAGAAGCAAATTCTAGTAACTGCCCTTCAACTCCCAACAATTGCCAAATCTGGGAACTATCGTGAAAGCTCTTTCTGTCTGTCGTTCGAAATACTAATTGAAAAATCAGCCAACGTGGAGGTCTAGGGATCTTTGGTTTGTCTTTTAGCAATAAGTTTTGTAAAAACTAAATTATATAAAAAAAAATTTTATTTTTCGTTTTAAATCTAAAAATCGATTGAAATGCTCAAAAGAAAAAAAATAAGTTTCTAAAAAAAAAATAAAAAATCAACGGTAACTTTTATTCACCTTGAAACAGCTATGATACCGTATATGTATAATAAAAAATTAAGTCCCTAAAAATTAAATAAAATTGAAAAAAATTATTTTTCTTTTCTAAATCTACATATTCAAAGAAATTTTAATCAAATTTAAAAATTAAATAAAAAATATTAAATAAAATTTAAAAAATCAAAGGAAACTAAAAGTAAAATTAAGAAGAAAAAAAAATATATTGAAAAGAAAAACTATAAAAATTTAAAAAGGTTATAAAATTAAATAAAATAAAAAAAGTATTTTTCATTTGGAAACAACAAAATCTAGACATTAAAAGAAAAAAAGAAAAACATAAAATAAAATGAGTTTCCAAAAGTTTAATGAAATTAAATAAATACATACACTGCCGACAAAAAGTATTGACACATACAATTTTTCACAATATATGCATACATTTTTTTTCTAGTATTTTTCCGCCATTTTTTTTTTTATAAAAATATGGTTCATTCTATAACAAAAAACATAAAAATATAATTCCTAAACTTTGTGCAAAAATCAGATTTTTTGAGTATACAAATTAGTAGCCCAATCAAATTTATTATAATAAAGTACAAGTTTTAAGTAGCTAGGAATTATAGTTGCTTTTTGGCAATTTTTTTACGCAGTCTCTTCCATACAAAAAGTTTTTTTGAAAATACTTTAAATATATGGTGTTTTGCATTTACACCTTCTACAAAAAAAAAATCCAGAAAACTATTGCGATTTTTGATAACTCAGAACTTTCAGTTTTAGAATTTAATGGGCTGAAAAACTGCATACTCAAAAAAATTCTAAAAAATGTGATTAAAAAGTTGAAAATTTGCTAAATTAGCACAAAGTTTAGGAATTATATTTTTATGTTTTTTTGTTGTAAAATGAACCATATTTTTATAAAAAAATTGGCGGAATATATTAGAAAAAAATGTATGCATATATTGTGAAAAATTTGATGTGCCAATATATGTTAGCCAAAATTGTCCTGTTAGATGTAGCTTTAAGCTTTTTAAACATACGACAGATAAATGAGCACCATATCGTTTGTAATAACAAATTATGTACGAAATATTGTTCGAATCAAGTCGATGTACATACGAAACTTACGATCTTTATTCTCTCGTTTCCCCCAACCGATTACCGTACACATTTGATCTGGCTTCAGTTTGATACCGGGCGGTGGCAGACAAACCGGCAACAAATGCTCGTGGAAAGCGACTCTTGTGGCAAGCTGTAATAGAAGGTAATGAATGACGTATTTGCATAAGAACGACAATTGTGTCTGAAAAAAGTATGATGTTTGACTTACTTGAAACAGTGCTATGTCATTGTCATGCGTGATTATAGTGTTGTAATTTGGATGCGGTACGACAGTTTTGACTTTAACCTTTTGACCTGTATAGGTAAAAGAATTTCTGCGGGTTACGCCGAGTTGTATGGTCCAATCTTCTAGATCAATGACGGTGTGACTGAAAAATTTACATACATACATATAAGTTTTTGTTCCTACATACATACATACATACATATGTACATTTGCATGAGTATTACAACTTACTTTCCTATACAATGCGATGCCGTGAGTACCCATTGATCGGATATTAACACACCAGCACAATAGAAGATTTTTTCGGGTCCTCCTAAAATGGCAGCTAAAAATGGCCATGATCCAGGGTTTGCCTGTGAGCCACCAATAATGCGGCGAGATGGTTTATGGCGGCCACGTTTCACCTTGCCGCACTCTAAAAGAAAATTTTTAAAAANGGTTTATGGCGGCCACGTTTCACCTTGCCGCACTCTAAAAGAAAATTTTTTAAAGTTTTTTTTATGATATTTATGAGCAGGTTTTGCGCGCATATGCCACTCACCATAGTTAGCACATGTCAGCTCGGCGATTGGATAGTCCTCATCCGGCGTACAATTGGCGAATTCCTGCATTAAATTTGAATGTTTCTTCGCATACATTTTCCAAATATCAGTGGAAACATTTATGGACGTCAAGAGCGGTCGATGTGTCTTAAGTGTCACCACGCTAGTTGCATTAACGGCACTGTAGCCCAGCATAGAGCAGACGGCTGAAGGCGATACCGCACGATCCCAGTTTTTAACGCAAGCCGGTGCCCATTTTTGTGATTTGATGCGGTAGATTTCCAACACTCCTTTCCCCAAATCGCCATTACGCTCGCTAAGACGTACTGATGGTACAAAATAGTTATTAGGAAATAAATATTTTTGAAGGATCAATCTATCTTCGAGACGAACTACTTACTGCAATTACGTTCATCTTGCCCAAACGGACAGTCGATAACACCGTCGCAAATGTGCTTCATACCTATGCAGCGATTGTCGCCACAATAAATCTCATCCTTTTGGCAACGTTCACACTTGGCCTCATCTGCTTGATCCATGCAATCTAAATGGCCATCGCATACATAATCATTCGGTAAACAGCGATTCTGGTCACACTGGAAACCATCACATTTCGGTTTTGTCGATGCCAGCATCACTTCACGCACCTGATCCAGACCAACGCAATCTTCGGGGTTTTCAAAATCTTTGAACAGCTTGCAATTCAAATACTCGGGCAAACTAAGACCGAATACATCGAAAAAGAAACCACAACGTCGCATCGTTTCAGTGCACAGCGTCTTACAGGGAGGTACTGTTGCGCCGGTTGAACCACATTTGGGCACAAAAAGTGTGCACAGGAAAAGCGATACCAACTCGTAACAACGCACATCAACCAATGCATCATAGGCATCTAGATCCTGTGTATAATTGTTAAGTAAAAAGCATACAGCAATAAGCAATTGAAAATTTTTACCACTTGAGTTTCCAGTTGACCAAAATGTCCGATATAATTGGGAAATACGGTGTAGTTATACGGAATTTGTGGACCTTGACAAAACTTTACGATAATCGGTAAACACGTGCCGGGCGCAGGATTTTTTCCATAACCTGATATTTCTTCCACATGGACGGTGTTTATTATAGTTTTATTGACGAACTTGATGGTCGGATAGGAACTTAAGTATGTCCCTATGCCAGCAGCTATAAGGAATATAGCGACTACATTGAGAAAGAGTTGGAGAGCGCGGAACCTCATCCGACCATTGGTACAGTAAGGATTTGAACTTTTGCGACGATTCATAATCCGCTAATATATATTTTTAAAAGAAGAGAAATATCGTTATACTAAATAATAAAGACATAAGGGGGCTTTCATTAAAAAATACGAATTTCTTTCAAATAAAATAAAATCAACTACTTGTGTTTGTATAAAAGGCGCTTAGCGTTGACATCAATATAATTTTTACTGTTTTTGACTTTATGTCCAATTATTGTAGCTGGTTTGTCATTAAAATCTAGAGATCTATTTTTGTTTGAGGTTAAGTTTCCACGTGAAAATTTTGTTAAGAATATTGAGAGCTTTGGAAGTATTTTTAATTCCGAATGACTGAATGACATTGAGAAGAGACGAAATAGTTTGGCAGCTATGATAACAATTATTTAATCCCTAAAAATTTTAAACACATGATTGCAGTGTGTTGTATAAATGTATGTTCCTTTTCTTGTCCTTCAAGTCAGGTCTTAACGCTATGGAGGTGTCGCGTCTTTGGTTAGCTCCTACCTCCGGTAGGTGGGAGGGTGGACAGAATTTCGCACCAATCAGTCTCTCTTCTGCTTATAGCCTTAGATAGGCTGATAAAACTGATGTTAGAAACAGTTTGTGATCGCCTGACAGGAGCTCAGCATACATTCGAACGTAAAGTCGGTAGAGGAAGCCCTCAAAGTTCATAAAGACTTCACAGGCAGAACTTTTACGAAGGAGTGGGCAGTACGACCATCCAACGGGGGGTAAATTCCCATTTTTGGATTGTGGTACGACCACATCTGATCTGCTGGTGAGTAGAGGCTGCCGGGTAACCCGGAAGTATTTAACCCAGATGTGAAACTGTGATGGAAACCTAATACTCACAAAATATTGAAGAATGCATCTGTAGCTCTGTACTATAGCAACGGGACAATAGGTAAGATTTTGGTTCTTTCTCCTGAGGTTATTCTTGGCTCTATGAACCCATTGCTAGGTTAGTTTAGGTTAAGGTGGCTTCCCCTCGTTGAGGTACTCACTTAAATCGCAGACGTTGGTACTTTATGATACCACTGCGAATTGTAACTGCTGAGTTAGAGTGTAAATCTCTGAGTGTCAAGAACGAAGTTTCGCAGGCGGCAAATGTTTGTCTCAGAAGCTCCTCCGGACTTGTGAGAAAGTACGACCCCAAGTGTCTAAGCCGCAATCTAGCAAAAGCTGGGCAGTCTAGGAGGAAATTTTGAGATGATTCGCCTCGTCATCATCCATACAGCTGCGACAAAAGGGGTCCGTTAAGATATTAAATCTCAATGCAAGAACCCCGATAGGAAAATTGCTTGTTAGTATACCCACCAGAATCGAGAGATCCAGCTGTGCGAGTCTAAGGAAATCGATTAACCTCCCCGGCCCACACTCAGTCAGAATGACCTTGCGGTAGCACATTCCTCGGTTTTCCTCCAGCGTTCGCTAAGTTGACCCGAGGCCCATCTAAGAGAAGTCCACCAGTAGTCAAGGGAACTCCCACCCTTTCTCTTCTTGGTGATACTTTCTCAAGGGAGCTTCTTCGATATCACTATGGCCTGGTCTCCAAACAAGTCTGACAAAGTATCGAAGTCTATTAACGAATCCCCCATCAAGCATCGAGCGTACCGTAAGAGAGCCCACGGTCTGATTGTAGCTTGGCTATCTTAGTAGATGTTAACCTCCCTTACGGCCATCGTGCATAATAGCAGACAATGTACTGCTTCCTTAACAGCAGTAACCTCCGTGTAAAAGCCTGCAATCCCTGGCCTCCATCCATACATTCCTCAATGGGATGTATATTGAGAAAGAACTAGCTTGCGCCAGGTAAGGCGTGCGTTGATCCATGTTGCTCGGGATGATATCGAATCCCCCAAAAATAGTAGAGTGTCCAGACCGCGAATCCTTCAGGCAACCAGTACCTCTTAGTTTGACCGTCGCCCTTGCTGCAGCCGTCTTAGCTGCTGGGTGAACTCCAAAGACGGCCTGAGGATCTCCTCTCTCTATTCTGGTGAGTGCATTGAAAAGATAATGTCGGATTGGGATTCACGCGGAGACAATACATATCACACCGGGTCCTCGCTGTCGTCGCTGGTGGGAGGATGGCGAGATGGAATTACCTACATAAATACTTCCTTTTAAACTGGCCATCTTTTGCAAGACCGTGGCTTGAACGCCTTGGATCACACCATACATCCAGCTCTGACGAGCGCTCCGGAAGCGACATCAGACGCCAGCGAA